ACATACATTAGGATGATATTGCATGCTCATACACACAAGAAGGAATTGATAGACAGACTGTCACACCTTGGCCTGAGTATCTCTTATGATAGAGTGCTCCAGCTCTCAGCAGAGATGGGCAACCATGTCTGCAAACAATTTTACTGAGAACAATTAGTGGTCTGACCTCCAAAAGTGCGAGGCGAAGAGTTCAAAATTGCCGCTGTAGATAACATAGATCACAATCCTAGTGCAACAACACCAAAGGACTCCTTCCAAGGTGCCGCTATCTGCCTCGTACAACATCCTTCTCACACTGGTGAAGGAGTAAATCGGAGCATATTAGTTGCTGGAAAATCTGGAGATGCACCGTCCAAGACTGTCGTCCCTTTGGCGCACTATTGTAGTGATGTACCCCCTGTCACTAGCAGCATCAAGACGTCGCCTGTCCCAGCTGCTGGAGTTGCACCATTGACCAGAGGAGACTTCAAACAGTAGACTGATGAAAAATACCATTTGTTAGGCCATGCAAAACACGCCCTGGGAGACAACACTGGTACACTGGACAATAAAAACACATCTTGGGCTGCATTTCATGCCAGCCGACAGCCACCAGAGGGTAGAGTCATCTGCCCCACGTCGCTGCTTCCACTCTTCCTGGAAAGTGCTCACACTGTGGCAATGATTAGGCATTCAATGGACGTTGTGGAGAAAGCTGTAGAACACATGAATCCTGGACAGACACCAGGGGTCACATTGGATCAGCCACTGTTTGCTTTGGTCAAGCAGATACAGTGGAAGTGGCCAGAGAGTTATGGTGAAGACCATATAGTGGTGATGTTTGGTGGTCTCCACATAGAGATGGCAGTACTGAAAACACTGTGGGACTGGCTGCAAGGGAGTGGTTGGGTGGCAAGCACTTGTGCAAGCCGAGATTGCGACAGCAAGGACAGCAGACTCATTCCAGCAAACATTTCAAGTCTTGCGCACAAAAAGAGCACATCAAGTGGCTGCAGCAGCACTGTACATCCTACAACATCATGCCTACAACCATTTCTGTCTGGGAGAAACCAGGGACGCAGGGGACATTCCTGCGTTTGAAGACTGGTGACGCCAGAGACGAGACAACATCTCCCAGTTTTGCTACTGGGCAGCTGTGCTGGATTAAGAACTGCTGGCTCTAGTGTATATGCGTTCTCTCAGGCAAGGATCATTGATGATGTACCTCGATGCTCTGACAGAGCTGGTCACCTGGTTCCACGCACTAGATCATACCCACAATGTTAGGTGGATACCGGTGCACCTGAAGAACATCGCCGAACTCACTACGAAACACCCAGACGCAGCAAGGAAATTCAGTGAAGGCCATTTCACTGTGGAGAAAACACAGAGGGTGTTCTCTTTAATCCCGACTGACTAGGCACATGAGCAGAATAATGCAAGAGGATTGGGCAACAGCAGCCCGAGGCTTTCACCAGAGAGTGTCTGTTGGACAGAACAAAGGCAGGGGACAACCCCATTCCTCGTGACTAGGCTGAAGGTATTCAGCACTTCCACTCCAAGAAATAAGAGTAAATGTTAGGAACAGTTCGCCTCTGTCAAAAATGACCGTGAACTCGTCGCACGCCTGGCAGACGAGGGGTGGAAACCTTGAGGAGTTCTTTCGTCACAAGAACGCATGTCGTCCTGCACTGTCTGCTGGTGGAAACCTCTTCACTTGTACTAAGAATGATCTCATCACAGACTTTGAAGAAATCTTCCACGCCAAGACAGAGACTCCTGTCACTAGCTGTATAGTTCTTAATGGAGCAGCCATCGCACAGGTTGGCTGCATTAAATTAAAGACATTTGAAGAGTATGCTCCTAAGATCTTCATCCCATATAGCAAGAAGACTGCGTGGGCAGTGTGGACGGTACTGCCAGAACTCACTGAGGCGCTGCTGCTGGTGTCCTCTGCACCACGTGACATACCAAACGATGCAATGTCCATCATCAAGAGGTTCGTGATTCTGTTGTATGATCAAACCAGCAAATGCACGGACAATGCCACGGCCAGGAGGAAACTCTTCACAAGGAAGAACGATGAGCAGCTGATCCTTCCAACGTAGGCAGCTTTAGAGGAACATGTCAAGAGGGGAGTGTATTGAGGTGGGAATGTGTGGGGTCAGATACTTTTGTCAGCACCAGAGCTCCCTCCACAAAACAACTAGGGTTGGTCAATGATTGGAGGACAGTACACACCATACTGGACCAGGCTACCCGAGGCAGCTCACAGCTGCAATGAGCTGGTTTCTTGCAAGTGCCTTTTATGGTGTGTGAGGCTCTGCAAATGCAAGAAGACTGCCCTCTCTGTGTGTGAAGGGGACTGCACAGGACGATGAGTCCAAAACATACATGTACTTGTGGCAGTGCTGAACTTCTTAACATGACACTGTTTATGTACATGCATCTTCAGTACCGATATCTACCTAGCCTCAGATACCAGACCATTAAAGAATGTCAGTATACACCTAGCCTCAGAAATTAGACTAAGTAGCATGCTAGAATTGTACCTACGACATTTACAGACTTAAGATTTTTAAAACCAATTAAACAATGGCTAAGGCTGGTTTCAATAAAATGAGCCCAATCCTGAAAAATAGAAACATATCAATGAACACCAAAATGAAAGTCCTGAAATACTATGTTTGTTCAACCCTTCTATATGGCTGTGAATGCTGGACAATCACTAAAGACAGTGAAAATAAAATAGAGGCAACAGAAATGTGGTTTCTTAGGAGACTGCTAAGAGTATCGTGGAAGGAAAAGAAATCAAATGAGGTAGCGCTTGATGAAGCCCACGTGGGACGCTCAATGTTTAAAAAAATCGGGAAACGACAAATGCAGTTTTTGGGACACCTGAATAGACATAAGGGTCTTGAACATCTAGCTCTCACTGACAAAATTGAAGGCAAACGAGGCAGGGGTAGGGCCAGAACAACATACTTAGGGAACCTGAACAAATGGGTAACAGGGAAAGATCAGGGAAACGTAGCTTTTCTGAGAGCATCCGAGCAAAGGAATGAATGGAAAATCATGATCGCCGATGTCTGTCGCAGATCTGGCACTGGATGATGATGAAACAGGCTTTCAAAATTGAGTCAATAGTGCCGTAAAACACACACTCAATCAATCATCAACATGCTTTCATATAATCATTCTTTTCAAAGTATCGTGTTCAATCTATTATTTTCCTAGATCATTTTATAAAATAGAGTATGAAAGATAACATTACGTTGAAATTGGTGCCGTTGGATTGTGCATTGAATTGTGCACTGAATAGATTTGTGCATTAAGATTTGTGTCTTTGGTTTAGATTTGTGCATTAGAATTATGCTTTAGATTGTGCATTGGATTGGTATCATGGGATTCCTTGCCCCCAAAACATACATTTAGACACCAAAATGAAGTCAATAGCAGCATTTGACCCAGAGATAATCGCAAGTAGATTTCAAATGGCGGCCATTTCGAAATCCAATATGGCCACCATAAAAAGAGAAATCCGAGTGACCCAATATCTAAAAATGTTTGCAATATATTAATGTACATCTGTGCTAAATTTGGTGCTTGTATCACAAAATGCAGTCCTTTTAAATTTTTGGGCTAAACCGCCCCACTATATGTCAAAAAACACATAAGTAGGCTACATAATATCATTTGGCAGGTAACTCAGATACGGAAGCAAGCACATTCATGAGCCCTTACATACACCCAGTAACATTTATTTAAACACATGTAGACGATCGGATAGAGGAATAGATATACAGACACACACACAAACACACAGACACACAGACACACACACGCGTACACACACACTCACACACAAACGTACCCAAACAAACACACACACACACGACAACATGCACACACGTACGCATTCTCATAACGTACAAGTTGGCAATTCGGTTTTATTTTTGGAAGATAACATTCACAGATAGACACACGCGCACACTCACACATACAGATTATACACATACACTCATACTACTCACAAATTCCCACCTGCAAACACAAACACACACACACACACGCAGATACACAAAGAGGGAGACACATGCTTACACGTATGATGCACATTCTCCAAGTACAAATAGACAATATTATTATATTTCATGAGATGGTAATATACACAAAATTATAAATACACATGCAGACACACACTAACATATATTCTCACATAACACATACCTGCGCACCCCCTCCCCACTCTCTCTCTCTCTCTCTCTCTCTCTCACACACACACACACACACACACACACACACACACACAAACACACACACAAACACACACACACACACACACACAAACACACACACACAAACACACACACATATACACACACTCGGGAAACATTTCCGCCAATCACAGCTGCCACAAAATTAAAAACACAACCGGCGTCTGTGGTGTAGCGGTAACGCACTTCGCCGTCGCAAACAGAACATTCGAGTTCGGTTCCCGAGTGGGCAGAATTTCTGTCGAGTTTCTCAGTCTTTCTTTTGGGGTGAGTGTAATCCTCTAAGCCCACGTAGCCCTAACACTAGGCATGGTCAAAGCCCTCCTCCTGAATAATCTAAATTGTGTCTATGGGGTCGTTAAAACACCTACGCCTACATAAAAAAGAGATCACAGGTTGTTGGTCAGCTGTCTGGGGTTGTTTGTTACCTTTTTCCTATCAAACATCTACCATCCTTATCTCTCCTCCTTCTTTTTAAGTTCCTTACTCTCGTGTAACACCTCTAATTTTAGGCACTTTTATGACCCAGTTGAGTTGCAAAGCAGTAAGATTCTTACTAAAAATAAAACAGTCCCCCACCCCCTCCCCAAAAAACCACAAAAACAAACCAAAACAACAACAAAAAACAAACAAACAAACAACAAAACAGTATCAACAAACAAACCAAAATCCAAACCAAAACCAAAACCAAAACAACTAACAGATACATCTATGTAAAATCAGCAACACCCATCACGAACGACATTACGCAGTGACGTTAGTGGGGAACACATCGGTGCTATGAGGAGTGGTTTCAGCCCAAAGTGTGGGCAATGCGGTCGATGATCTGTTCATCTCTGGCGGGAGCTGGTCCAGGTTCAGGTACGACCAGATCCAAGTGTTGGCGCCGACGTTGATGACCAGCACACACAGAACGTTTAAGATGAAGCCAGCTTTGCCCTGAAACCATGGCCCAACAATGTGTTGTTTTTGCTCTGGGTTTTGTTGTTGTTGTTGTTGTTGTTGTTATTGTTGTTGTTGTTGTTGTTGTTGTTTTTGTTGTTGTTGTTGTTGTTGTTGCTGTTGTTGTTAATCTTGTTGTTCGTTGTCTTTTAAAAATAAATTTGAACTTTTATTAATCATTCAAAGTACAGTTGTCCCTTACACTACAGTCCAATCGAGAATATTACACAAAGAAGTCAAATACAGTTAAGGTACTTGAATGTTTTTTTCCGTCTTCGGTGTTGAAAATTCGTTAAAACGATAGTTGTGGCTCTCCAAATGTTGCAATTTTACTTTCACTACATATAGATCTAACACGGTACAATACCGAGACGGAGACAAATAAAGTATTATTCTATGAACATTTAGAATACATCTATGTAAAAAAAAAAATTTTAAATAAAATCGACTGGCATGAAAAAGTAAACTAAAGTTCAAAGTGCCGATCCAAATTAATGATTATTAAATTCGTTTTTTTTTAAAAGAATGAAATCGTTAAGGGTGGAAACTACAGTCGGACAAGCTCTAACGGCCGCCACTCAACCAAAAGAATCACTCGTAAAAAGGACCGCTTCCAACCATGCGTTTTTTAAAATAATATCAATATGACACAATTCAAGACATCCCAATATATAAGACAACCATTTTACTCCTCGACAGTGGGTGGCCGTTTGAGCAGTTTCGACCGTACTTACCATATCGGAGGCCTTGATGTGCCCGGTGGCAAAGACGATAGTGTTGGGGGGCGTGGCCACAGGGAGCATGAAGGCCATGGAGGACGCCAGCACACCAGGGACCATCAGGTACAGAGGGTTCATACCCAGATTTAGCGCCTGTTGAATAAACACCGGGGAGAGGGGGCGGGGGCGGGGGGGTGTTGGAGTATTTATTTAAACACATGTAGACGATCGGATAGAG